ATCAGTTGTAGCTAATCCTTGAGCAGCTCCGGAGTTCTGAACCAACTCTGTACCATCAAAAGGGGATTTTATTGATATTCTAAAATCAGAATAGAGTTATCATTTTCGAACCAAGTCCTGGACCAGAAAGTTCATCTACGCCTGCAGGTTCAACCAGCTCCCTACAGAAGCAGCCTTCTACGGTTCTGCTCCAGACAGCTCTAGAGGTTCATCTACACCTACAGCTTAAAGCAGTTCCCTACAGAAGCAGCATTCTACAGTTCTGCTCCAGACTTCTCCCTGTTCTGAAGGCTCATCAATTCCAGTAGTTGAGAAGCTCTCTAAATCCTCCCACAGAAACTAACTACACAGTAAAAACTCTCCTATATATTCCGTAACAAGTTTTTACCAATAAACATTTTTCAACCCCCACCACGTATTATTTAATTAGACCTAAGGTTTAACATGATATATAGAAACTAGCTTGAAAACTAGCTAGATATATAGAAACTAGCTTGAAAACTCACCTTTACCTGGAGGAACCCAAAAAGTCAACCTTCTCAATTTAGAATATTTAAACCAAGCTAAAAATATTTCTGTGGTATAAATGAGTTCCACAGCGAAAATTTTTGGCAAATCGCTTAAGGGGTTCATGAGTTATGATCGGACAGCCAATTAAACAAACAGATATTAATGCTTTAAGATGAACATGTATTTAATTTTTTATTTTTTGTATCATAGATGTATTATCTTTGGAAATTCCAGCTTGGCCTGGAACCCAAATTTCTCTATAAAAATCAAACTACTTAATTTTAAATTTTAAACAAACCAAAGAACATTTTTTGTGATTCCACTGTAAGTTACCCAAGTTTTGGCAAATCGGTCAAGGGATTCGTTATGATCGGAAATCTAAACAAACAAACGGACGTACACAGATATTACTATATATGAGGCCATTTTTGGCCCTGAATCCGATAGTTTCTAAAATACAACGGATAATTCCAGGTAATCCTGCATAGTTCGAAACAGGAATCAAGCTATACCTACAAAACCAAACTGAGAACATTCCCTTGGTTCTCCCGAGTTTCCCAATGGTTAAAGGTCTACGGCTTCACAAGTTATGAACGGACATCAGAACAGACAAACAGACAATCAGAGATTACTACTTGAAAGGAATATGGAGGAATACAAATCAGAAGTCATGTACAATGTGAAATGTACAATGTACAATGTACAATGTATAATGTACAATGTACAATGTACAATGTACAATGTACAATGTACAATGTTCAGTGTTCAGTGTACAATGTACAATGTACAATGTACAATGTACAATGTACAATGTACAATGTACAATGTACAATTTACAATGTACAATGTACAATGTACAATGTACAATGTACAATTTACAATGTACA